ACATTTTCTACCATTTTTGTTAATGTCAAATTTACTTTCAGTTATTTAAATAACTTCCCCCTTTTTTGTGTGCTTACATCACTCTACATGCGCAGAGGACTTAACTGTTTTCTACCCCCTCCCAAATAAAAAAAATAAAATAAATAAAAATCCATGTTTGGGATTTCAGTGCTCATTATCACTATACGGGGGATGTAGACACAATTTTAACCTATTACAATTAATTTGACACTGCAATTATTGTTATAAACACTGTTACAATATAACATTTGTTTGGGCATATGATCGCACAGTGATGTTCTTTTCGTGCGACCGATCCATAAGGCTCCTGTGACTGTGCATGTGCCTGTTGCAGCTCTCCAATACCACCCTGCATGTTTTAGCCGTGCATAGCATACGCGTGTGCATGCAATGTCATACTTTTCTGGATGCTAGTTGGGCATTAATTATAGCTGTGATTGGTCAAAACACAAAGGGAAGGTGCTTAATGATTCGGTCTATTGTGATTATCCCCATTATCTTTTAGAACCTAAGTCTAATTTTACAAACTAAGACGTAACGACACTCTAACCAATAGAGCCTGAAAGTAGAGAAGTCACACGGCGAGTTTCCAAGACTTGAATATGGGAAATATTGACTTAAAGTTTATTCACAATAGGTGAAAACATTATTAAAAGACATCTTGTAATTTTATTTCACTATATGATTTTACATAGAATCATGCCAACAATTTTACCCGTCAATTCCTAACAATCTAAAATAGGTTCGGATATATTTAAGATTTTTAGGAATTGACAGGTATACATTTTGGTAAATTGTTGGCATGATTTTTCTCTTTCTAGCTTAACGTTTGGAAACTGATAAATCCTCACTTTCCAAAAATTGTTAAACTAGTAGCAATTTTACAAAGGCCCTTTCTTTTATTCACAAAGTCAATGAATCCCAAAATATAACTGTACATTCAGGCTCCATTACCAAAATGTCCAATTCAGTCAAAATGCCAAATTCGTCCCTTTGACAAACAGATGAAGGAGAGGAAAAAAGGGGGAGGTGGTGGTGTCTTATAACCAGTTCACGCCAGGATTATTTTGACAAGAACAGGTTTTATTATCACTCGCCATCTAGCCAAGCAGATTGAAGTCATCACCCTAAGGCAGCACACTCATATTTCCGCCTAACTCGCTGCGAGCGGGTCGTCGACAGAAATTTCCAGCCTCGCTCCCTGCATTTTTATTTGTCATTCTGTTCCGATACCGCAAAACATTTTACGTGTATACACGGCCTCTGGTGCGAACTGGTTTACAATAGCGAAAAAGATTATTTAATACTGCCAATAAAAATACATCGGTGAAAGGCAAAAGGAAAATTAATGTTGAATTACCAATGTTGTTTTCCGTCTTCCAATAAGTTTATTATAAACCTTATAATGGGTGCGTTCAACTTGAAGTAGCTAACCCGGATCGACTCGGGTAAAGGCAGCTGGGTTTAATGAGAGCCGGTGTCATGCGAAAAACTGTTCGGTGCGAAACAACGTCCACTCATTCAAGGCAAACTGTAATCTGAATGACGTCACAGTGTTGCTAGAAGCTGGCCCTATGGCGATCATGCGGTCAGCTTATAAGTCGTCATGAATGAAATCGTTGGTCATTTTCCTTTTATGCCTTGTTTCAACTGTGACTTTTCTGGTTATTATTAAAAATCCCACCTGCAATTTCCACTAGAGCACTTTCGCTCATACCCACCGCCCAAACATTACTTCTGGATGTATGCCAGAATAAATTAATTTCTTTAAACACTTTACACCTGTGCATGACATGTGTACACAGAATGTACATGCATTGGATAGGGCAGTTAGCTCCCCGTGATGCTTTGTATGCCTATACTTCCTTCACGTGCCTGCTTTAGGCGGTGGGTACGAGTGAAGACAGCGCTCAGACACTTTTTAGCACCGGACAATATTGGGCACATATTACGTGCCAAATAGTGCCTGCATCGACTGCTCATGTTCAGCTGACACTATTTTGTACCGGACAGTTTTCTGCATGACAACTGCCAAATTGAATGCTTTAACATGGACCATCATGATCCTCAAGTGACGTGCCTATAATGACCCTTTCGGACTGCAAGTCACTTTGAGATTTACCCTTTCCATCAATTGCAAAAGTAACGTAGAATGGAATTATATCCTCTAAAATTGCAATGAACTCAACAAGTAATTAAGTGACTTTTGGGTTCACTCACGGATCCTCTACACACAGAAAAACGACTCATACTGAGCTTGTGTACAAAATGTACCGTACGGAACGGATTGTCTACATGCTTGATATGCCGCGTCCACGCATAGAGGAACACATAGAACATGTGGAACAAATGCGCACATGCACCATGATCGCAGTTTACACGTTTGCGGGTCAGAGGCCAAGCAATTGACCTATCGCAGTGGAATTGCGTTAGAATCGCATCAATGCAGCTTGCAAATTATTCAGAACAGGCACATTTTGAACTACACTTGGCCCAAGTCTGGGTTGCGCTCTGTCTGTATCATAGTAAAATATGCAGTTTACTATGATAGCGCATAATTATGTATACACTCTACACACTGTACCACAACACGCCCTCATGCGTCAAATCCATGACAACATGCTAAACACTGGACTGTTTTTCTGCCCTTTTTAAGTCCAAACGACAATGGGGTTGGGGAACCAGATTAGCTAAAAACGTACATGTACATGTTATTTTTATCGATTCAGCAACCCAGACTTCGTCAATCTGCAAGCGTAAAACACTTGTTTGTTCCACGTTTCTACACAGTCTATGGAGATTAATTTTCGCTGTGATTGCTTCTACCCATTTGGGTAGAAGCACAGTGTTTCAGGTAATTAGCGTTTACATTCCTAAAAACGTGCGCAGAGTGTTTTGATTTTATTCCTGTTCCTAACACGCAATCAGCGTTGTCTGCGTATTCGCACAACCACAGTTGCACACACACGCGCATCCTATGGTGAAGAGAAGAAACAGATACACACACGTGTACGTTCGAATGCTTTGAAACGCACAACACTTGGCGCTATCAATTGATCTCAACATCTGTTACAGGTTGACCACAACCATATCTAAAGTGCCCTTTAGTTTTGTACATTATTTATTCTGAAGTCACAATATTTCAATAGGGCAATATTAGAGTACTCAATATCGGTACTAAAAGGTTTGTTTGAAATGACCTATCACGGTAGAATCGTGTCAACGCAGCTTGTGATATATTGTCCAATTGCATTATATATGAATGGACGCGGAACGCGCAAAATCTGAGACAAACAAACTTAGTGTACAAAAACTCCACATAGGGTTGTCTAAGGGGCGTGGCTAACTCGCAAACGGCGATAGGTCAATAAGCATGACTTTAAGTTCAATTTTGAAACTTTTGAGAATCGTTATCCAGCCTCCCATACTTACTAAAAAATGATTGTGTTTTCAAAATTTGGTCATTTTGATTGGTCAAGATGTTTCTGGTATAATGCATAGTAATGATGTTGCATATGCATTGATGCATACATACATGACAGATTGATCAAGTTGGAATTGCTAACTTTTGCACCACATGTATGCACATGCGATGTTCAGGCACACACACACATGTACGTATAATACGCGTGTTATATAATGTACATACAGTGTGCGCGCGTATTGTTATACGGCACTGACGTAACGCATGATGAAGTGTAACTTGTCGTGCTTCTGGGAAGTAATTTTTGTGATTTTTTAAAACTTATTTTTAAGATACTGACTTAAGCAATTCCGAGTTGAGACAAGTCTAATTTTGAATGGCAATGCACCAGTATTTAACTCTTTCAGTGCCCGCGAGATTTAAAAAGTTTAACCCTAAAGTGCCCAACTTTGAGCGTTTTTTGTAATTGTTCAAAATTCTGTAAAAAAAAAGTAAATAAGTTTTACTCACTAAATTTGTTGTTTCTCTCTGGTATATACACCCTGAAACACTGTCCTGCACACGGGGGAATTCCGCACTTTTTTGCAGAAAATACGAGTGTCAGTGCTGCGCCCTCTCGCAAGAACACGAATGAAACAAATAAATACAGGTCGTACCTGAATGAAAATGATATTATTAGAAAGAGCGAGAGCGCCCCCTTGTGATAACATGCTTACTCTATCTCGTACATGTACGAGGCTTGGCGATTTTAAGTACGAGCATTACCTCGTACATGTACAAGGTTGGCACGGTTGAACTAACAAATATACCTCTTACATGTACGACTTTGGCACTGAAAGAGTTAAAAGACTGACAGAAAAGAAAGTTGGCCACTGAAAAGACTGCAGTTGCGTGCCCAGTCTCGTGCATGTGCACACTCAAGTGCCGTATCACGTATCTAACCAGAAATTTGAGGAAGTCTTTTATTCTTGAGTAGAGGATCCGTGGTCCATTTTGAGGAATGAAGAACGCATGCATGTGACATATTTCCACCAATGACTCCCCTCCACGAGTAGAGTCTGTGGGGGGCTAACCCCGGTTGAACAAATCGAACCACCCATAGTATACAAATATTGAGTGGCTCAGAGTGAAATGGGAGGAATATTATTGCAAGGTAAATTGGACTTGTCCATTGCAGGAGGCGAAGCCGAGTGAACTGGAAAAGCCCAGATTTTACCGAGCAACAATAGTCCTCCCATTTCACAATTGAAAGCCACTCAATATTTGTTTTATATAACTGATACATAGATCCTTGACATATTTGAACTTTTATTTCAATACAAAATTGGTGGAAAATATACTTCTCTCTTCCAAACCACCCCTTCAAGAAAATAAAATGTTTGAACCTAACTCTGTAGTGCTGGCTCTTTGGAACAATATGCGCTACGCGCCAACGCTGAACGCGCACACCAGCATGCATTTGCACTCAAAATAGCGCGTCATGGAACAAGAATGATCCTAACTGTTGAAAAGTATTTCCCATTCCCCATGGGCGAATGAGGCTTTTTGAGTCCCGGTGTGAATGGGAGCAATAACGAATGTCACGTGATGTGAGTTACACCAATCAAATGACAAGGATCTGTATGCCAGTTATATAATAATTTATTAAAACAATTGTAACTGGGTAAATTGCATTAAAGAATTGACTGGAGTGAGGTTTGCAGCTATTCAGTTGTCCTTTTGTGACTTATTTGAAAATGTGTAATTAAAGGCTGTGTCCTTCTCTGAGTGATCCCTGTTTGCAAATTCTGACCTTTGCAGGACTGTTATTGTTGACACCATTAAGACTTTCGGCATGAAAAGTAAGACTGGCAACCGGGGAACTTCCAACACAGGGTTGGATAGCTCATTTGGCCAGTCAGTATATAACTGGTACAGTATTCCAAGGTGACAGGATTTCAACCTCCTCCAGACAAATTCTTTTCCAACTTTGTAATTACTAAATACATACCTAATCAGTTTCCCTTTTGCGGTTTACTTGAGTGTTTATAAAATAAATTACACTGATATTTCATATTTATTAACCGAAGAAGACAATTCATCAGTATTTATTTCCAAATTGGTTTGAGTATGATTTTTAGAAACACTGCTATTACTCTCTGTTCCACTTTTTTTGTTACAACTATCATTATTATACATGTGACCTAGTTGCTGCTTTTTTCTCACATCTAGCTCTTCACTCATCTGTAAAGCTGTTACAAATGAGATTGGTCGACGTTTTCTTGGTGCATCATATGACCCATGGAAATGGGTACCATTAACAATAGGTTGTTTATTAACATGTACAGGCTCTTGACTTTCGAAAATATCTAGTTCATGTGAGCTTGGTATTCCATTCCCATGTCGAACTGCCTCTGCTGAATTTCTTTCTCTGTAGTTCTGACTTCTTGGTTCACTTATAGATTGAGTTACTACCGGCGAAGTGAATCCATGGGAGCTGGTGCTCACACTTTTTGAATCCTTTGAGCTGTTTTTGTTGTAACGGAAAAAATTTACCTTTGAATTGCTGCATGGGAGAGGAGGTGGGTCTGCCTCACAATCATCTCCTTGACTTTCATTGCTCAAACTGTGAATATCTACTGCATATTGAGCCCGGTGGTTGACTGGCGGTTGTTTAATTCCAAAAGGCTGTGATGTCAGCTGAAAAGTGAAGGGAGAATTTTATAATTAAAAAAAAAAAATTAACCAATAATCATCACACTAATTCAGAGGCCATTTTCATTGGCCAATACTGCAAAGGTGGATCAATTTGCTTGGCATGGAAATATAAGGATCTGCATAACTGTTTCAGATATGATGTAGAAGAGTCCTATATTTTAATCATTTAAAACAGACAAGTAGTTTTTATACTATTTATTCCCACAGAGTAGTGTGGTGGGAGTCCTCCCATCAAATACTCATATGTAATGCCATTCATCTGAATGTCACCTTTCCAGCATATTAAATTCGCTAAATGTTTGATGATAGCTGCCCCTATATAAACTATCCACACTGCCTTGTTGTTACAACTGATAATGTAGTAACCAATGGATAATGTATCACCAACCGATAATGTATCACAAATGACTGATAGTGTAGTAAAATTTGTATCCGATAATGTATCACGTGTCGACGGACAACGTAATTACCAACAAAATGTATCCGATAATGTATCACCACAAAATGGATCCTGTATCAACCAATAACGTATGAAAATCAACTGATAATGTTTCAGTATGGACAAAGTATATAATCAGCAAATCAGTGCTGAAATGAAGACAGGTTTTTTTCCTCCGGAGACTTGGCCTCTCCGTAAAATCAAAAAATGGGGGGGGGGGGGGGGGGGGGGGGGGGGGGGGGGAAGAGGGGCTGGTACCATTCTTCCAATGGGGATGATCTGACGATGATAAACACTATACAGCAAATAGCATTTTGTCATTAAGGTCTTGGTTTGTACCAAGTTTGAAGTCAATCCGATGAAATGAAGTGTACAATTGTGGAAGCAGAATAAAATTGTAAATATTAAAAAAAATCATAAAAAAATCAACCGATGACGTCATCGTGACGTCACTTTGGATTTTGCAAACCAGTACCATTTTCTACCAACCCACCAAATTTGATGGCGATCGGACCTTCCCTTATATGTTTTTTAAAAATTGCATTTTTCATGACGTCATGATGACGTCACACATTTAAAAAAAGTTTATGCTAATACCTATTACGTAACAAACCAATTACAAAAAGAATTTTGCATGTTGCGTTCGTGAGATATGGTTAAAAGGTCCAAAAATTCAAATATTCATATAAAATCGCATGATGACGTCACCTCATTTTTTTTTTATCTATAACACATCCCAGTCTACCCACATACCAAGTTTCAACTCAATCAGACTTACTGTTCTGTAGATATAGGACTTCAAAATATGCACGTTTGTGATGACGTCACGTGACCCCTGATGACGTAATCATGACATCACTCTTCGGGACACAACTTTGCCACAAGGACAAAGCATATGCTTAATTTGAAGTTCAATGCCAAAAGTTTTGAAGTTCAATGCCATTTGAAGTTCAATGCCAAAAGTGGTGTGTACTAAAATCGTGCACAAAGTCTATGGGATTTTTGGCACAAAAAGAAGAACCCCCCACCCCCAAAAAAATCAGAACAAAAAGAAAGGCTTTTTCGCAAATAGCCCAAAAAAATCAGCACAAAACCAAAGGCTTTTTCACAAATATGCGAAAAAGTAAAAAAATCGTAACAAAAACAAAGGCTATTTTGGCTGGTTGCTGAAACAGCCAATAATGGCTTTTCTGCAACAATGCAGAAAAGTCAATGATCTTTTCCCCCAAATATTCAATGAAGATTAATTAACTTAGCTAGATGAAGACTCTTGTCTCTTGAAGATGAAGAACCAATAACAACTAGCCTTCGTTGAAACAACTAGCCTATGAACTTGAAAAGAACTTATAAACACATCTTTTCTGACCACATTCTAAGAGATTAAGGGCAGATTTAAGATGGCAGCAGTACTGCATGGCATTGTGCTTGGGCACAAGAAAGCGCAGTCTGCTGGTATTAAAGCTTATCAAAGGGAAATATATAAGTGTAGGCGCTATTTGGGTAAGATGAACTATGTATACCAGTACTAACACACTTAAATATTTACTTACTTTATAATTGCTGTTAATGTTGGGTCTTACTGTTTCATCGATGTCTAACTGAACGTGACTGTGTGCAACACTGTTTTCAGTCTGATGAGAAGGCAAGTACATGGAAGCCAAAGTCACTGAAAATCCTTTGTAGCCAATGTACCTGTGAATCAACCAAAATAATTGGAAAATTTATATGGAATACAAATTAAAGAAATGTTTTACATCTCTATTAACACTGATTCATTCATATTTATAATTTAAATATGTAGTCGGGACACTAATAATGGGCCAGCCGAAGTGGAATTTTACACTTAGGAAGGTATTTTTTTGGTAATAGCAGGCAATCATGTCAGACAAATAAGTCATAGGATGGGGAAGAAATTGTAGGTCGAAACGTGTATTTCTTTCGATTTCGGGAGAATTCGGACACCAATTATTTATCCATTTATAAGAAGATACCTTTATTTTATTGTATGTTACTCTGGGATTGTAATTTAGTTAATATAAATTATGCCACCTCCATGTATGACGTTATACTGCAAAAAAAGTGATTTTTTTTCTTCTTCATGAAACACATATAACGCATTAATTTAAAATGACACTTGGCACTTCAGTCATGTCGGTCATTACTCTGAAAGTTTGTATCCGTATTTAGGGACTTGGATGGTAGTTCTGGAAAATTAAAAAGTGCTTACTCAATGTCTTCAAGTAAATCTATATTATTACATTGGCCAGCTGGCTTGCAGCACACCTGCAGGAAAGCGTGCACCTAAAATTCTGTCATGCAGAAGTAGTCCGAGTAACTAGAACTCTAAAGATCGCTTTTTTAACATTTGGACATGGTCGGGCGATAGAAGAGTCCAAGATCGATGGCCCTATTGCGGTTACTTATAATTTGTTTTTACCATTTTCACTCGTACCCCCAATCAAAATTGTCAGATTTCACTCCCAAAACGGTCTTCAAACTGCCTTAGGGATGAGATCAAAAGGATTTTTCCCGTTCCGACGCGAGCGCACGGGAGGAACAGGCCTATTGTGCCTAATCCCCCGGGCACCCGCGTTCACCTGGGCCCCGTTCAGACCGCGGGGTCACGCCCAAAATGACGATGGATAATGGGAACTGCACAAATAATATCCGAAGAAACATTGGCCAACACTGAAATTGACAAGGACACTTTGGAAATACAAGTAATGGTTGCGATAAAATAATGTTTGTTGTTTTCTCCTCTCTTGCAGGCGATGTATAGTTGAAGATGGAGAGTGATTTAACTTGTTAAAATGTTCAACAAATTGAGAAGACGTCTCGGGAAGTAGAGTTACACGTACATTGTTTATAATTTTGTGTATTAAAGGGAAATGTGCCACAATTTACTCCCCGAATGTTGCTGTTTAGACAGGAAACAAAAAGCTTGGTAGTGTGTGAGATAATTGCTGCAGCAATGTCGGTATTGGACCAAAATATAAGGGGATAAAAATTATTGGGGAACAACCTTGACGGAACTTTTTTTCTTTTCCTTCTCACGACTATGTAGGCCTAGTTTCTTTTTCTTTTTTTAAACACATTTCGTATACTGTAATGGTACTTTCATCAGAGGGGAACTTGCCAAAATGTGAAGGTAACAAAACTGAATGGGAAAGTAGCAACATTTGTCATGGTGTTAATAAGATTTATAACAGAATGGACATTAAATAGGTTTATGAAATGTGGGTTATTTGCCCTCGCTAGAAACAATTTACGGCAGTAGGATTAGGGTAGGGTACCGGAGACCGATTAGGTGTATTTAGGTGTGATCACAGCAAACAACCTTGGCCCTGACACGAACCAAGATCTTCGGCGATTCAGGTACACTACAGTCCTGCAAAAGTCTCGGCAAGGTTTAATTCAGCGACTACTACACATACATAGAATTTTGGAGATGGACACCATGGGAAAATAGGTTAGTAGCTGGGGAACTCTTACCAATACTATAAAGGGCAAACCCTGCACATTTTTATTTTAAAATTGAATTTCTAAAAACCAGGGAGGTAGCCATAGCTGGGACCAGGCCTAGCTTATAACTTGAGCTGGCACTGCATGATTCGTCAGGTTGGCCTCTAGCAGCGATCAATGTCAACTTCCCAATAGTTTTCACAAAGAATTCCCTGAATGTCAGTTTGAAATTTCATTGGGAGAGATTTCCTTTTTGTTATTTTTGAAAATGTTCTCATTCTCCGATGTCTAGAGCAAAATGGCAGTCTGCCGTGCACGTGATGCGAGCCGAACAACGAAAGGCACGAAACTTACTTGCGACGGCCGTCCGATCCGATGTGAAGTCTACACACGTGAATGCACGTGGCCATGGGTGGAATGATATTGCATAACGAATTTCACTATTGGCTAACGCAATGTCAACAAAGACTTGCTTTCAGCAACCTAAAAGCGTTTAGTAAAAAAAAAAAGATCGTTAGGACACTTTGCTTCCTTGATTCCCCCCCAATTTCTCCCAAAAATGTCATTGAAAATAGGTTTCCATGATGCATGGCGTCCCTAGGCTCAAAAGTTGTGTAGCTTGCGGTCAACCAATAGAATTGCTTGTTGGGCACAGACATTGCCGTGGGTGGATATTTCCCCTAGCACGCAATACCGCACCGAGCTGTAAACAGCTGGCCAGCGCAGAAAATGCATGATGCACGCACACGTATATGGCGGAACATGATCATGAGACACACAGACCAGACTTTGGGCTGCGTTGCATGCAACGACATAACGTGACGAAGGAGCCAAACGGAACGCAACGAACATATTTTTGTACAGGCAGACAGACTAACTTATAGACCACGATGCTTTGTTCTGGTATTCAGATGCCACCAATATATCAATAAAAAAAACCTGAAACACTATTAAAAAACCTGAAACCACCCTTATGCCCTTTCAAAAATGTGTTTTCTGGATGTTTCAGACCAAATCCATCGCTTTTAATATGTCACCTTTTTGGGTCGGTCGGGTGATCCAAACCATTAGGCATTTTTTATTTGGTTCAAGGAATTATAAGGACGGCCAAATTATTGGTATCGATACGCGATATAATGGGGATGGGCATGGTAAGGACCCTGGCCACGTAGCTGGGTGGAATGGGGTCACTGGTCGTTGAGGTAATAAAAATAAACTGCGTAAACAAAAATGATCGAATAATTACACAGGTCAATCAGTGTATCAAAATATAACATGTACATGTATTTTATTCTCCGATAAATTATGCCATCGAACAATAACAGTGATTATATAATATGGCGCACACAGATTTATTCTCAATGTGAAATATTGTCAATGGACCGAAGCAGTCATTAACTTTTCGGAAACAACAAAGGGAGCGGTAAGTGTTTTGCGTCCATACAGTTTTCAACACTTCACCGAACAAATCCACAATCGCTACGCAAACGTGGTCTTGGACATGCATTTTGTAACATAGGCGATGCACCTCTATTATATCATTCTTCATTTCTCTTGCGAATCCTGATCAGTGAACACGTACTCTGCAGTCTTATTATGTCTTCAACTAAACTTATAATAAAGTGGCTGAATTCGAAATGGTTTGGCGTTGAAGAATCAGTCCCTAGGAGCAGGGTCAAGACTCGTGGCCCACTGGAGGTCGGCATGGAAGTCCAGGTGGCCTACAAATCTAGTCAGCACAAGGCAGATGTTGTGCAGCTCAGCGAGAAGAGTAAATTTACTTTCCTCCATTCAGTAAAAGAATTTTTTTTTTTAATTAAGTGTAAAGAATAATGCCGGTGCATATCCGGTTTTACCATTCAGAAATCGGCTTGGTAGATTTCCAGTGTTCAAGTCTTAATTTATGATCATGGTAGGCTAATCAACTGATGCAAGTGTGTCATTGGTGTCGAATTGCCGTCATTGACATATCTGGTTGCAGGGGTGGGAGTGGAGTTTAAAAAAAATAGCTGAAAATAGCTGAACCTGTAAATAACCGAACCTGCGAGCATGAAGCCCTTACGGCATGGGGTCCGGGGCCCGCCCAAGGAAAAATTTTGAAATGTAGATGCTCTGTGGTGCCTTTTAAAGCCTCCTGGGCGTATTGGTCGAAAATGTTTTGCAATTTATGCATGTTTTTAAGTTAACTTTTCCTTCATATTGGCTTGAAACTGCCTAAATGGCCAACTTGTATATGAAAACTGGGAAATTCGACCACGTTTTCCATATGTTAACTCCTTACTGCAGATGATACACATCGCGTGTCCTGGCTTCTGGATTTTTCTAATCGAGTCGCGTAATTTCTACCCATTAACCATATGTTCCATCCAAATGCATTTTTACGGATTCGTAACCTGAGGATCGGTCTTGTCAATGTCCGTATCAAACTTCGAACCTCTTTGGATAATAACACATTTGTGTTGCACTGACATCTTGCGGAATTAATAATGTCAAAATACATTCGAAACATTCGAAATGACGCACTAACGTACGTATCAGCATGCAGCGGAATACATGCAGGATGCGTGCATGCAATGAAATGCACACATGACCTTTGCCCTGCATGATGCCCTCTACCGGCACGGCGACAATTTACTAGTCTTATTTGAAGGCTTTATATTTGCAACATGGAACGGTCACAAAGAGTCCCAACGCGCTTCATGGCGCATGTGTGAATATTCATATTTATCTGCAGCCAATCACAGCGCAATGACTGTTGGTTCCCCGGATGCGGTTTACATGTTATGTACAATACATTGTACACACGCAGCTTCGAGCTGAAAAATGCATGCACATGGCATCGTATAGTACCCACACGTACGTATATACGTATGTACATTGAACACTCGCTTGCACGCACCACAGAGCTATGTGTATGGTAAAGAGAGCGGATCGTGTGCGTTCGGCGGCGGCGGAAAATAAAATAGACAGAAATAAAATCAATGCTTACGGGCGGGGGAAAAAGCGGGGGGAAATCTGGACCATCGGAAGAAAAAAAGTGGAAAACAAAATGTGGCACACTGAACAAAAAAGCGGAAATCCGCTAAATAGTGGAGACTTCACACCCCTGCTGGTTGAAAACATTTAAAAATTTTCTAATTAGCCTATCGCATTGTTCCAATTACACATCGTAGTTATAGAGGAATAACTTTGCCAATTTTGTGCACCATCCTTTTCTATTTTTCAGTGTT